TCTTGTTGCCCAGGCTGGAGTGCAATGGCTCGATCTTGGCTCACCACAACCTTCGCCTTCCAGGTTCAAGTGATTCTCCTACCTCGGCCTCCCTAGTAGCTGGGATTAAGGGCATGGCATCACCACGCCCAGCTAATTTTGTATTTTTAGTAGAGATGGGGGTTTCTCCATGTTGGTCAGGCTGGTCTCAAACTCCCAACCTCAGATGACCCACCCGCCTCAGGCTTCCAAAGTGTTGGGATTACAGGCTTGAGCCACTGCACCCGGCCCCTTGGCTGATTTTAATTGGTATCTTTTTGCTGTAATAAAATAAAATCATGAGTACAACAGCTTTAAGTGAGCTCTGTGAATCTTTCTGGCAATTTTTCAAACTTAAGGGTGGTCTCGGCCACTCCTGAACTTGCAATTGCTGTCAGAAGTGTGAGTGGCCTTGTGGACAGTGCTGCCTCTAACTTCACACAAGGAGTCTTCTCCCCAGTTCCTTCAGTCACTGGACATGCCGCTGGCCAGAGATGCTGCCTGAGCATGAGGCCAGTGACACAGAGGCCTATTCACTGTGGCCTGGTCAGGGCCTGAAGGTCCCTCACCTCCTGCCCCCAGCTGCTTCATTCTCAGATCTGCTCTTGGTGCTACAAACCCTGTACTGATCAGGCTTCCTACTTGCAAACTTTAGCATCCACTCTGGTTAGTACAGGCAGAAAGGGGGGCTGTTAAAAGACATTAGATTGTTCTCAAATGGTTGGGAGGATAAACAGAGTTGAGGCTGGGCTTCCAAACTGGTCACGGGGTTAATCAGATGCAGACCACACCAGGACATATAATCTCACTTTCTCATTAACCCCATTGATTTTTAAGGTATTCTATCATACACCAGGATCAACATATACTTATAAGATCCCCTTGTCTTAACTATCTAAGACTGCAACACTCAGTTAATGTTCAACTATCTGTTTGTGAAATACCTCTTAGCCCAGTGCTTCTCAAACTTTAATGTGCCTATGAATTCCCAGAGCATCTTATTAAAATGCAGATTCTGATACAGCAGGTCTGGGGAGGTGCTGAAAATCTAACCATCTCCCAGGTAATTCCAATGCTGCTGGTCCTTGAGTAGCAAGATCAAGGCAACTCTGTGGGAGTAAGAATTTTCTCACTGTCATGTAACCCCCTAGAACAGCACCTGGCACATTGTAGGTGCACAGTTAGACATTTGTCATGCATGAATGGATTTGGCCCATAGATCAAACGTGGCCCAGCTTCCCCCTCCATCTAGCACTATGTGAATTGTTGGTCCTCAGAATCTCCAGTGGTCAGGAGCCCAGAAGAGAAAACTGGAAATTTCTCAAAAGCCAAGTCATGACAAAATGATTCAATCACTGACATAGTTTGGCTATGTCCTCACCCAAATCTCATTTTGAATTGTTGTTCCCATAATCCCCATGTATTGTGGGCGAGACCCAGTGGGAGGTAATTAAATCATGGGGGTGGTTACCCTCATGCTGTTCTTGCAATAGTGAGTGAGTTCTCATGAGATTTGATGGGATTTTTTTTGTCTGTTTGTTTTTTTTGAGATGGAGTCTTGCTCTGTTGCCCAGGCTGGAATGCAGTGGTGCAGTCTTGGCTCACTGCAACCTGGGCCACCCAGGCTTCAAGCAGTTCTCCTGCCTCAGCCTCCTGGGTAGCTGGGATTACAGACATCTGCCACCATGCCCAGCTAACTATTTGTATTTTTAGTAGAGATGGGGTTTCACCACATTGGTCAGGCTGCTCTTGAACTCCCGACCTC